GCTGATTTTTTGATTTATTGTAGAGATGAGGTCTCACTGCCCAGGCGGGTCTCGAACCCACGGGCTCAGGCAATCCACTCACCTCAGCCTCCCAAAGGCACGGGATTACAGGCTGAGCCACCGAGCCCGGCTATTTTTTTTTGAGTTGGAGTCTCAGTCTGTCACCAGACTGGAGTGCAGTGGCTGCTCCCGGCCACCGCAGCCTTGACCTGTTGGGCTCCGGCAATCCTTCCACCTCAGCCTTCCAAGTAGCTGGAACTACAGGCACGCGCTACCACCCCTGGCTGATTTTTTGATTTATTGTAGAGATGAGGTCTCGCCAAGTTGCCCAGGCGGGTCTCAAACCCGCGGGCTCAGGCAATCCACCCACCTCAGCCTCCCAAAGGCGCGGGATTACAGGTTGAGCCACCGAGCCCGGCTCTACTCTTTATTATTTGTCCTCTTGCTTGTCTGTGACCTCACCAAGTTTGAGGCAGGGATTTGTGTCTAGAGTGTTTGCTGACATGTCCTCAGTACCTAGAACATCATCTGGCATGCAGTAGGTACTCAGTAAGTGTAGAATGGGCCAGGTGCAGTGGCTCACATCTGTAATCCCAGCATGTTGGGAGGCTGAGGCAGGAGGATTGCTTGAGCCCAGGAGTTTGAGACCAGTCTAGGCAACATAGTGAAACTTCATATGTAAAAAAATGAAAAAGTTGCCAGATGCAGTGGCTCATAACTGTAATCCCATCACTTTGGGAGGCAGAGGTGAGAGGATTTCCTGAGTCCGTGGGTTCAAGACCATCCTGGGCAACTTGGCAAGATTTTGTCTCTATGACAAATAAAAAAATTAACTGGGTGTGGTGGCATGCACTTGTGGTTCCAGCTACTTGGAAGGCTAAGGCAGAAGGATCGCCTGAGTCCAGCAGGTCAAGGCTGTGGTGGCTGTGAGCAAGCCACTGTGCTCTAGCCTGGGAAAAAGAGTGAGACCCAACCAAAAAATAAGGAAAAATAAAGTAAGTGTAGAATGGAGGCAGCATGAGTTTTAAAAAGCCTCTTTCGGAGATGACATGTGAACTGAGACCCTTGGCAGAAAGGTCCAGCCTAGGGACAAGGTGTGAGAAGAGTATTTGGGGCAGCAGGAAAGCAAATACAAAGGCTCAGAGGCTGGATAATTGGGACAGTTGTGTTTCCAGGTGTTTGCTAAGTGAATACATTTTTGTAACCATCACAGGTGTTTGTGGACACTGTGGGAACACCCGAGACATACCAGGAGCGGCTACAGCAGCGATTTCCTGGAATTGAGGTGACAGTCAAGGCCAAAGCAGATGTACTCTACCCTGTGGTCAGTGCTGCCAGCATCTGTGCCAAGGTCAGCCCCCTGCTGGCCATGGCCAGCTCCCAGCATCCCCCTGGGTGGGCATGGATGCCACAGGGAAGGGAGATTCTGAGTGTCTGTCCTTCCCACAGGTGGCCCGTGACCAGGCTGTGAAGAACTGGCAGTTTGTGGAAAAACTTCAGGACTTAGATGCTGATTATGGCTCAGGGTACCCCAATGGTGAGCAGGGAGCAACCTGGCCTGTCTGGGGAGCTGTCCCGATGTCATGCCCCGACCATAGTAATAACACAACCAGGGCTGAACACATTTCTGAGGTTTCCTTTTTTTTTTTTAGCTGGAGATGTGGTCTCACTCTGACACAGACTGGAGTGCAGTGGGATGATCACAGCTCACTGCAGCAGCCTCACCACCATGCCCAACCATTTTTTAAAAATAGAGAATATTACTATATTGCCCAAGCCGGTCTTGAATTCCTGGCCTCAACCAGTTCTCCCACCTCAGCCTCCCAAAGCACTGGGAATACAGGCACACACCACCACCACGCCCAGCTATTTTTGGGTTTTTTTTTTTTGTTTGCTAATTTTTTGGGGGTTTTTTATGTTGCCCAGACTGATCTCGAATTCCTGGGTTCTAGCAGTCCTCCTGCCTTGGCCTCCCAAAGTGTTGGGATTACAGGCATGAACCACCGCACCAAGCCCTGCTTGAGGTTTTCTAAATTGTTCTAGTCACCCTACTCCTGATGAAAAGGCTGAATCCCAGTCAGGGGTGCCATTTGTTTGTGGCCACATGGCCAGCAAGGGACAGCCGGCCCCTCTTTCCTTCTTCCTCCTTTCTACTTTGCTCTCTCTCTGGAACCCAGTGAGGGACTGAGACTCAAGGTAGAAATCTGTCTATTTGTTAAGGAGAAGTGGCGTGAGCATGATGGCTCACAACTGTAATCCCAGAGCTTTGGGAGCCTGAGGTGGGAGGATCACTTGAGGCCTCAAGACCAGCCTGGGCAACATAGCAAGTCCCCATCTCTACAAAAAAATTTAAAAATTATGCCGGGCTCGGTGGCTCAGCCTGTAATCCCAGCACTTTGGGAGGCTGAGGTGAGTGGATTGCCTGTGCCTGCAGGTTCGAGACCTGCCTGGGCAACTTGGCGAAACCTCGTCTCTACAATAAATCAAAAATTAGCCGGGCGTGGTAGCACATGCCTGTAGTTCCAACTACTTGGAAGGCTGAGGTGGAAGGATTGCCGGAGCCCAGCAGGTCGACAGGTTGAGGCTGCAGTGGCCAGGAGCGGCCACTACACTCCAGTCTGGACTATAGAGTGAGACTCCAACTCAAAATAAAATAAAATAAAAATTAAATAAATAAAATAAAATTAACCAGTTATGGCAGTGCACGCCTGCAGTCCCAGCTACTTGAGAGACTGAGGCAGGAGGAACTCTCAAACCCACGAGTTTTAGGTTGTAGTGAACATGATTGTGCCACTGCAGCCAAGCCTGCTGTTGTGTGAGACCCTGTTTCTTTCTTTTTTTTTTTTGAGTTGGAGTCTCACTCTGTCACCCAGACTGGAGCGCAGTGGCTGCTCCTGGCCAACGCAGCCTTGACCTGCTAGGCTCTGGCGATCCTTCCGCCTCAGCCTTCCAAGTAGCTGGAATTACAAGCGTGCGCTACCACGCCCGGCTAATTTTTTGATTTATTGTAGAGATGAGGTCTCGCCTGCCCAGGCGGGTCTCGAACCCACGGGCTCAGGCAATCCACTCACCTCAGCCTCCCAAAGGCGCGGGATTACAGGCTGAGCCTCCAAGCCTGGCTAGAGACCCTGTTTCTCAAAAAAAAAAAAAGGGGGGGGGACCGTGAAGGGACAGGAATGAGGGACTCTTGCTCGTCTGGTAGTCTAAGCTTGAATCCTTTGTTTTTTATTTATTTGTTTGTTTGTTTGTTTATTTTTGAGTTAGAGTCTCACTCTGTCGCCCAGACTGGAATGCAGTGGCTGCTCCCAGCCACCGCAGCCTTGACCTACTGGGCTCCGGTGATCTTTCCGCCTCAGCCTTCCAAGTAGCTGGAACCACAGTCACGTGCTACCATGCCTGGCTAATTTTTTGACTTATTGTAGAGATGAACTCTCGCCAAGTTGCTCAGGCAGGTCTCGAACCTGCGGGCTCAGGCAGTTCACTCACCTCAGCCTCCCAAAGCGTGATTACAGACTGAGCCACCGAGCCCAGCTTATTCACTTATTTTTTGAGGCTGTGTCTCTTTCACCCAGGCTGGAGTGCAGTAGCATGCTAATGGTTACTGCAACCTCAACCTGCTTGGCAGGTGATCCTTTCACCTCAGCCTTCCAAGTAGCTGGAACCACAGGTATGGTGAGCCAATACGCTCAGCTATATTTTTTGACTTATTGTAGAGACAAGGTCTCATCATGTTGCTCAGGCTGGTCTCGAACCCCTGGGCTCAGGCAATCCTCTTGTCTCCACCTCCCAAAGTACTGGGATTACAGGCATGAGCTACCATGCCTGGTCGATGTTTGATGTTTTTATGGGGGTTTTTTTGGTTTTGTTTTTCTGAGGTGGGATCTCATTCTGTTGCCCAGGCTAGATAGAGTGCAGTGGAGTGAACATAGCTCACTGCAGCCCCAACCTCCTGGGCTAAAATGATCCTCCTGCCTCAGCCTCCAAGCAGCTGGGACTGTAGGCATGTGCCACCATGCCTGGCCAATTTTTTAAGTTTTAAAAATTTTTATTTATTTATTTGAGTCAGAGTCTAACTCTGTTGCCCAGGCTGGAGTGCACTGGCATGCTCACAGACACCACAGCCTCAGCCTGCTGGACCCAGGTGATCCTTCCACCTCAGCCTTCCAAATAACTGGAAACATGGGTGTGCACCACCACACTTGACTAATTTTTTTACTTTTGTATAGATGAGTTCTTGCTCAGGCTGATCTTAAACCCCTGGGCTCAGGCAATCCTCTCGCCTCTGCCTCTCAAAATGTAGCAATTACAGGCCTGAGCTACTGCACCTGGCTGAATCCATTGTTTCCCACCCACCATGAGGCTCAGTCTCCTTGTCAGTAAAGCAGGAATAGTTGTGCACTCCCCCAAACCACTGTATGCATACACAAGGGCAGATTTGAAGAGTCAGGGTGTGAGGAGCCCTGGGTTCTCAGGTTCAGGGGCAGGCTGGTGGTTGTGGGGGCTGCACGAAGAGTCTGTGATGGGAACTCAGGGAGTAGAGCAGGCCCGGGCCAGACACAGTTGGGGCATCATACAGTGATCATTGAGCGCCTGGTACATGTCATGCAGGGCTGAGCCTGGGATACAGCCATGAGCAAGATAAAGAAGGACCCCTTTGTCCTCACTGAGCTCATGACTATGTGGGGAGGGTGGGCATTAATGTGATATTGCCAGGTGCTGCTATTCTTGAGGGTCAAGGAGTTGTCTCAGAGGCAGTCTCCCCACACTGCACCTTGAGCAACTCTTGGCCAGGCAGAGGTCAGGCCTGCCTGTGCAAAGGTCTTGAGGCAGGAAGATGCCTCAGACAGTGGGAACTGCCTCAGGTGCTCAGGAGGAAGCCTAAGACGAGTGATGGGGGGAGCTTGGCCATTACAGTACAGCTCAGGGGCTGTCACTGTCACCCACCCACCCCAGATCCCAAGACAAAGGCATGGTTGAAGAAGTACGTGGATCCTGTGTTTGGCTTCCCCCAGTTTGTCCGGTTCAGTTGGCGCACGGCCCAAGCCATCCTGGAGAAGGAGGCAGAAGGCGTTATATGGTGGGTGTCCCAAGGATGCTGTGTGGAGGGAGGGAGGCCAGGGCTCAGCCCTGCCTAGGAGGGCTACTCCCCGTAAGCCCTCTCCAAGGAGTGGTCATTGTCACCACCTCTCTCCTACAGGGAAGACTCAGTCACAGGCAATGAGGAGGGACCGGGGAGGATCACATCTTACTTCCTCAATGAAGGCCCCCGAGCCCGCTCCCGCCTCCCCCACCGATACTTCCAGGAACGAGGCCTGGAGTCAGCCACCAGCCTCTAGATACTACTTGTTCTCCCCAGCCTGCGTATCCCCCCCACACCATTCCCTCAGTGATTAAAGTTGTTTAAGGACAACCACATGTGGTGATGGTGCTTTGGGGGGCAGAGATGAGGTAGGTGCGTGTTCTGTCTTTTGGAACCTAAACAGAATGGGCTTGATTGACTGATTTGATTTGATGTGATTTTTGAGATACACGCCACATTTTTATGACACAGAATTCGAAGGGAGTATGTTGAGCGCTGGGCATAGTGGCGCCTGTAGTCCCAGTACTTTGGGAAGCTGAGGCGGAAAGTTTGCTTGAGCCCCGGAACTTGAGGCTGCAGTGAGCTATGATTGCACCATTGTACTCTAGCCTGGGTAACAGAGTGAAAACCTGTCTGAAAGGGAAAAAAAAAAGGCTGGGCGCAGTGGCTCACGCCTATAATCCCAGCACCTTGGGAGGCTGAGGTGAGAGGATTGCCTGAGCCCATGGGTTTGAGACCAGCCCAGGCAACTTGGCAAGACCTCATCTCTACAATAAATCAAAAACTTAGCCAGGCGTGGTGACGCACACCTATAGTTCCAGCTACTTGGAAGGCTGAGGCAGAAGGATCACCTGAGTACAGCAGGTCGAGGTTGTGGCTGTGAGCATGCCACTGCACTCCAACCTGGGCGACAAAGTGAGATTCCACTTTTAAAAAAAACCCCAAACCCCTGCCTCTTGAGGGTTTCAATCATTAACTCTTCTCAGGAAAGCCCTGGGGGCAATTCCTCCAAATTCCTCTCCAATTCATCTACCTCTGCCCATCTTCTGGTACCTTGTCCCAGCATCCTCTCCTCCAATCTTGGCTCCCCTTGTTTGCTTCCAAGAGGTAGGCAAGAGTGTTAGTTGAACCAGTGGATCCTTTTTTTTTTTGAGTTGGAGTCTCACTCTGTTGCCCAGACTGGAGTGCAGTGACACACTCCCGGCCACCGCAACCTCAACCTGCTGGGCTCTGGTGATCTTCTGCCTCAGCCTTCCAAGTAGCTGGAACTACAGGCACGTGCTACCATGCCTGGCTAGTTTTTGCTTTATTATAGAGACGAGATCTTGCCAAGTTGCCTGGGCGGGTCTCGAACCTGCGGGCTCAGGCAATCCACTCTCCTCGGCCTCCCAAAGTGCTGGAATTACAGACTGAGCCACTTGTTTTTTTTTTGAGTTGGAGTCTCATTCTGTTGCCCAGGTTGAAGTGCAGTGGCACGCTCATGGCCACTGCAGCCTCGTCCTCCTGGGCTCAGGTGATCCTTCTGCCTCAGCCTTCCAAGTAACTGGAAGCACAGGTGCACGCTACCACACCCAGCTAGTTTTTTGATTGTAGAGACAAGATCTTGCCATGTTGTCCAGGCTGGTCTCGAACCCGTGGGCTCAGGCAGTCTTTCACCTCTGCCTCCCAAAGTACTGGGAATCTAGACATGAGCCATCATTCCTGGAAGTTTTATAGATCTTATGCTTACACCCTTCCATGGCGCTCATGTTTTCTTTTCTTTTCTTTTTCTTTTTTTTTTGAGTTGGAGTCTCACTCTGTTGCCCAGACTGGAGTGCAGTGGCCGCTCCCAGCCACCGCAGCCTCGCCTGCTGGGTTCTGGCGATCCTATTGCCTCAGCCTTCCGAGTAGCCAGAATTTCATGTGCATGCTAATACGCCTGGCTGATTTTTTTATTTATTGTAGAGATGAGGTCTTGCTGCCCGGGCGGGTCTCGAACCCGCGGGCTCAGGCAATCCACTCACCTCAGCCTCCCAAAGGCGTGGGATTACAGGCTGAGCCACCGAGCCTGGCTTTCTTTTCTTTTTTTTTTTTAGACATGGGGTCCCAAGTAGCTGAGAATACAAGCACAGGCACATCCCACTGCCCCTCAACTATTATTTATTTGTCTGTTTATTTATGTTGGTGTCTTACTTTGCCACCCAGACTGGAATGCAGTGGTATGATCACGGCTCACCGCAGGCTCAACCTCCTGGGCTCAGGTGATCCTTCTGCCTCAGCCTCTCGAGTAGCTGGTACTACAGGCTTTTTTGTAGAGACATGGTCTCACTATGTTGCCCAGTCTGGTCTTGAACTCCTGGACTCAAGCAATCCTCTCACCTCAGCTTCCCAAAGTTTTGGGATTATAGGCATGAGCCACTGCATCCAACACTTTTTTTTTTTGAGTTGGAATCTTACTATTGCCCAGACTGGAGTGCAGTGGCATGCTTACGGCCACTGCAGCCTCCATGTGCTGGGCTCAGGTGAGCCTTCTGCCTCAGCCTTCCAAGTAGCTGGAACTACAGACAGACACCACCACACCCGGCTAATTTTTTTTTTTTTT